ACAATATATGTTGTTAACACGAATCTCACCAAGACTCCGAAAGAACTTGAGAAAACTGCCTCACACCTGAAGATGGAATTTGAGTTGAAGGATCTTGGGAAAACTTGTTTATGCCTTGACCCAAAGTTGAAGCATTATTCTGACGGTATTTTGGTCTACTAGTCAAACTACACCCTGAAGGTATCACCTTTTAAGTATACCTTTGATCGTCCATACGTTATATGCAAATGAGACCCTTGAAGAGGTTATAGAATCCGAAATTCCATATCTAAAGTTCAAATATGCGCTTCGTTGTACTTAGCTCATTGTATTAAGACAAGACATCTCATTTGTTGTTAATCTTGGTAAAAATGCAGCACCGCGCCTACACGCATCCACTAAATTGGTATTAAAGACATACCCTGAAGGTACTACAAAGGCAAATCCCAACACATCTTGAGCAGATCCAACCCCCTTGATCCTCGAAATGATGCTTGCCTTGTTTGTTATGCTGACACTGGTTACTTATCAAACCCACACAAGGAAAAATCCCCAAATGGTTATGTCTTTACCGTTAGGGATATCGCAATATCTTGGAGGTCCATGATATGACCTTAGTTGCAAAATATTCGAATCGTTCCAAGACTCAACTCACTTCACTACGCCACAAGTGAGACATGGTTAGGAGTTCTTGTTGAGCATATTCCAAGTACTTGTTATTTTCATCCATCGTTGAGTCTCAAAGACGATCCATGAAGATTATGTCACATGTATCCACCCGACCAAGACATGATATATCAACGAAGTCAATGCCAAGACATATTGCGTCTACATCACATCAGCAAAGCATCAGGAGATTGAAGTCATGCAAGCCGATCCCAGACAACCTTGCCAACCTCTACGCGACGTCACTGCCGAAGTCAACCTTTGAGGAATTGGTATGCCTAACCATTCATATGCAATGCTTGTAGTTCTCATTTGGAAATTATATCAAACTCAAGGGGAGTATCCAGAAGTATACTCACTTGATCTTAATGTACTCTTTTTCCCTATGATTAGGAGCATTTTTCCCACTGGGTTTTTGCTACCTAACTAGGTTTTAACGAGGCACCCATCCTAGGCTGATCATACCATTGTGAGCTCTTCTACTTACGTCCAAAAGACGTTAGTTTTGACTTAATGCAACTTCTCACTTTTTTCCTTAGACTATGGGTTTTTCTCCCACCTTGGGTTTTACCATAGCGAGGTTTTGTGAGTTTTACCTTTTTATGCATTCTTCTGTTAATTTGAGACTCTCATTCGCTTATTGTGCCGACGACTTCATCAATTGTACTTGCTTTATCATTGAAGACCTGATGCGCCATTTACTTAAGTATTTACACACTCAAGGGGGAGTGTTGCAATCCTATTAGATTAAGAATGTGGTTGTGTAAATCCTAGTAGATCTAGAAATATCTCTTATATTCCTATTAGGAATTGATTACCTATTAAGAGTTGTAATTCTAAAAGGATAAGGAATTAACCTTCCCTACTACTATAAATAAAGGCACAATGGGGTGGAATAACACACATCCACAATTACACATTTCTTTCTTCTCTCTACTATTGGGCACCTTCCTCTCTCTCTATGGCCTCCATAATTGTTCAATAAATTATGCCTACAACAAAACCGTAATATTAAGTGACAAAAAGAAAAAGAATCAAAAGTTGTTAATCATCCAAAATAAACTACATATTAATACAACACTGGTTGTTATCCAAAATTCTATGAAGTTACCATTCAAACCCTCTAATTAAAACTGAATAGAAATAAAACTTATGAACAATTTAGTAATTACAAGAACACACATTTTGCCTTTAAAAAAAAGTGCTACCTACATGTGATTTTAACCCTTTTATATTAAAAAAAATAAACAAAAAGAACCTCTCTCCCGCTACCACATTCTTTCACTCTCTTCCTTTCTCCTTCCATTAAAAAAATTGTTCACACAATTTATGTTTGGCATATGCTAGTGTTCTTATTAAAAAAAACAAATGGGTGCAATGATTTTTTATTCAGAAATATACATAACTAACAAATTACATTCTTCAAATTTTATTTAGATATAAAACTGTATTAATATCCACAATACTGCTTTTAATTAACAAATTTAAGTAACACTTGAAATCTTTGTTGTGTTATTAGCATAATAGAAATGTTATTGTTAATAAAGGGTTTTTTAGCCAAAATGGTCTTTGAAATTTGTATAACACATCACTTTGGTCATAAGATTGAAAATCAATAAAAATGGTCCTTAAGATTGTCCACCATCCATTATTTTAGTCATTCCGTTAAAAACTCTGTTAAGTGTCCCAGAGCTCTTGACCGAAAGTTTGGGCAATTTTCAAAGCTTCGTAACTCAATCGTTTCTTGACCAAATTTGACCCATAATATATCAAAATGAAGATAGGAAAGTGTAGAACAAGATTATACCTATTTGGAAGCCCAATGATTGCCGGAGATGCCAGAAAATAGCCTGAAAGGTGACTGGTCGGTGGGAAAACTGGAAAACTCGCCGGAAACTGGGTAAAATTTAAACGTTCATAACTTCTTCAATACTCAACGAAATTGAGTGATTCAAAAACTAAAATCATACTTCTCAATGAGAAGAAGATAATGATACATTTCTCAACGACTAATTCGTCTTGGTTTGGCCGTAAAACGGCTTGAAAGTGACTAACTCGAGACCAAGACAGCCACGTTCGAGCCGTTTTCTGGCCAAACCACGGCTATTTAGCTGTCAAGAAAGATACCATTATATTTATCATGTCTAGAAGTATGATTTTTGTTTTTGAATCACTCGATTTCGTTGAGTATTGAAGAAGTTATGAACGTTTAAAGTTTACCCAGTTTTCGGCTAGTTTTTCAGTTTTCCCGCGGACCAATCACCTTTCAGGCTATTTTCCGTCATCTCGGCAATCATTGGGCTTCCAAATAAGTATAATCTTGTTCTACACTTTCCTATCTTCATTTTGATATATTATAGGTCAAATTTGATTAAGAAATGATTGAGTTACGAAGCTTTGAAAATTGTCAAAATTTCTGGCCAAGAACTCCAAGACACTTAGCGGAGTTTTTAACGGAATTACCAAAATAATGAATGGTGGACAATCTCAAAAACCATTTCTATTGATTTTCAATATCAGTGATCATTATGACTAAAAAGCCTTAATAAAGACCCAATATCAAACAAGACTATAGCAATATATTCAAAAGACTACGCTGTACAAGACAAATACAGATAGAATCTTGTAACTATCTCACTGGAATATAACTTTAACATATTTGATTTTCACCGGATTATAGCTTTAACATATTTGATAGTACCATAACACTTTGATTATATAAAAAAAACCCAAATCGGATAAACAATATTTGTGATCATTCGGAAGATAGTGCCTGTGCTAAAAAAAACTCGGATTTAAACCTTGTGATGTACTCTGTTAGTAAATTTAGTCAAAAGTGATTTTTTTGGTTAACTATGTAAAACTCTACTTTGACGTGTACACCATCTCCTCCCCTACGCAACCTCCAAACTCACATCGCGCAAGAGAAAAAGAGAGACCATTTTCAGTTTTCCACAGAGCTACCACCGCAACCATGGCGGCCACCGTGTCTCCGTGGGCAAAACCCGGCGCCTGGGCCCTCGCCGCCGAGGAGCAGGAAGCCGAACTCGAACAGCAAGCCAAAGAGTGTTTAGGGTTTAGGTACTGAAAGCCTAGTAACTAAATGCCATTAAGTACTGAAAACCTAGTAATCTACACCAATCTTGTAGTTCCATCTAAGACTGGAGGCGGGTCCGATTTAGAAGTAAGAGCTGGTGGAAGAACCTCTTGCTCACTTCCCACATAAGAACAAGAAGACAAAAAACAAATAGGTAAAACAAGATTGCTCACTAATTTATGAAGATGGAGACTTTTACAATTCTAGCAATTGGGTTCTTGAAAACAGAGAAGGTAAGAACTTTGGTTTTTACTGTACTAAATTTCCCATTTACTGTAACATACCCAGTCGCCATAGTTACAGAGATTGAAGCTCTGGTCTTCTTTCCAGGGGAAGCTCGAAGACGAAGCTTGGGAGGAGACGATACGGCGGCGTTTGAAAATCTGGCTATCACTGATATCTTGGAGAGAGAATCTGAGATGCCCAGGCGCCGGGTTTGGCCCACGGAAACACGGTGGCCACCATGGTTGCGGTGGTAGCTCTGTGGAAAATTGAAAATGGTCTCTCCTTTTTCTCTTGCGCGAATTGAGTTTGGGGTTGCGTAGCGAGATGCAGGAAGAAAAAGGTGTATAAGTTAATGTACAATTTTATCCATGTATAAACATATAGTTAACGAAAAAATCATTTTTGGATTAAATTTGTTGACGGAGTACATCATATGAGTTTAAATCCGAGTTTTTTTAGCAGATTATCTTTCGAATACCTTATGACCACATGGATCGATTTGACCTATAAAAAAATTACTTTGTGTTTAATCCATTGCTCCCGCATTTGAAATATAGGAAAGAGGTTACTTGAAGTGAACGAGAGACATTTTTTATGAAATGCTTGACAAGTAGTCTACATCTTATATATATATATTAAATCCTTATATAATTAACATGACGTGACATGTTCTTTGAGTGAAGCTACATCCACAAAACATGTTCATAAGAATTTTGCATATTCATTTACTGTAACTAGAGTTTGTATAAGCATGTAGAAGCAGACGATTTGTAGTTCAATTGCTTAAAAGTACTTACATTTGCATCCGAATTCCTAATGTCGACTCTTCTCTTTGCACTATCATTAAATTTTTACTTCAATTTATCTCGGCTTCTCTTTTCTTTTTTTTCTTTTTTTTCAAATCCTGGGCTTCTCTTTTTTGGTATGACCAATTTACTTCCCCTCCAACATTTTCACAGCATATAAAAATGCACTTAACTTTTGTCCAAAGAAAATGCAGTTAACAGAAAAAAGAAGTGCCACAGGTACGATCGAACGAGAGAAGAGAACATATCCTTGATTTGGTATTGACATACACATGTTTTTAACTCCTGAACCGAAATTCGGATACAACTGATGCTCTTCATCCACCAATAAACAGAAAAATTAACAAAATTAAGACTATGACCCAACCCCCCCCCCCTCCCCCCAAAACCAATCCCGTACGAATATTTTGGATCATGAACTGGGGAAGCTTGATATTCATCCCTCCGAACGTCATGAGTTGCCAATGGCACCCATTTAGATATCTCTATAGACAAGGCTTTACCGGTATGGAAAAACCAAAAAAGAAAACCAATCCACGAAAGCAACACCTCCTCAAGTTTTCTGGAAGCCACCCGATTTTCTCAATCACAAGTATTGTTCGTGTATCCTTGCCCGATTCTCTTCCCACCACAATCTGGCATGCATCTCCCCAAATTTCTCTCGGCTGCACCGCATGAATATGAAAGGAAGTCAAATATTCATGCCAAAGTCAATATAATTGCAAATCATGACAATAAACAAGCACGAAAAAAAAAAAAGATAATTGCATTTCTACACTCGAAAATGTTTAATGTTAGACATATGAAAAGCACTAGTGGAAGCAGAAATTATTGCAGTAATATTGATGTCATATAGTTGATGATAGGATTTCATATCACTGGCAATTTAAGTCCTAATTGTCAGTAAGCTGAACCTCAAGTATGATATAATGCCATGTGGGAACCCGGTGTCAAAAATCAGCCTACTTGACAAAAGAAAAGCATTCACTATGCTCGAAATCTTGCAATATTTCTACAAAGCTACTGTAATGAACAATTATCATGAAGTCAACCTTAGTTGCAACTTTGAATCCCTGTCCAGTGAGGATTAAAAACATAAGCAATCCGATGGATGTTCATTAGATGGGCAACAAGAATAGTAAAATTTTGAGTCCAAATCATATGCACAACCGTTTTGATAAAACGGCAAGCATACATTGGTGGGATTATGGTCGTTTTGGGGGGTAAAATTTATAAACTTACTAATTTTAAAGAATACAACGTCGATAGGTATGCATCGCATATTTTCTTTATAAATTCCCTACTCTTTTGGTCAGTTGATAGTCTAACAGAGACAAGTTGATGTAACTGTACTCAATTTCTTACTAGTAAACGGTTGTAGCCCATTGACCAAGTTATGAATTCAAATAAGCAATATTATACTAGAGCTGCATTGAGTTGTTACGGACATTACCTGAATCTGACCCGTCTAAGCTCCCGTTTACCCCCTGGTAATGCTCTGATAGTGATGTAAACCCCTGGCTCATCCTGTTCAACCCATTCAGTCTCCATATCGCTGGCATTGCTGATCGATAGCTCCCCTGAGCGATCTGCCTCCCTTGATGAACTACTTCTGATAGAAGCATCCATGGATGATGTCTCTGTCTTGGTCCCGCTTATGCTGGAGAGTTTTGGGGTGGAATTGACACCGCCTGAATCGCAGTAATGGCGGGACTGCATTGGGTGATGATCAAGTGAATCTGATGATGAGTAGCTCATAGCCATCCCTGTGGGACGATACAGGTTGCGAGGTAAGCGTTCTCTGGTTAGTGGTGGAGTTACAGGGCTGGCTTCAGCAGATTCCATCTTTGAACTCTGCAACAAAGAGAGGAACAAGACATCACTCATATGAGAAGAAAACAACATAACTTATCATTGAATATAATACTCTGTAAGTACTAAGGCTGAACTAGAATTGTCATCAGAAACCTAGTATTGCCTTCAGATAACAACATAGAATCGCCATTGTAATTGAATTGCCACAATGCTATTTCTCATACATAACTTGGGGCTTACCTCATCTTCTGATCTAGCCGGGGTTGGAAGCGGGAAAGCATTCCGGTTAAACCTTTGAACATTGTAAAGTTCCATGACCCTATCATAGTTGTCAGCCCACCACCTCTGAGCTTGCCATTTGTTGAAAATCTCTCGACTAGTCAGAGAAGATAAAACAAGAATTAAGAATCTCTCATGTCGTGAAATTACAGCATAAGAAGCGAGAACAAGAGGCACGCCACAAGCACAAACCAGTTGAAAGCATTCGTTTTCTGTAACTAGGGCATTATGATCAGTTTCTGCAATAATTAGCAAGAAAGAATCATACATTACTTGTTACTAGAGTTTCATTTTATCTTCCACTTGAAAAATCACATGTTACTGTTAAATATGTTACGCCACTTCGAATTGGGCGCGCAACGCCTTTTGACAAAGCGGATCAAAGTGAGAACACAACTCCAAAAAAGGCAAAGCTATACTTGGGTGCAAGGAATAAAGTGGTCTCCAAAGTTGGCCAAATTGGCTTTTCTAGCAGTGCCTAGCCCATCAAACCCAATAAGTGCTTTTTTTTCAAAAGCCGATCAATACAAAACAAAATCGATTCAAATACCAAATTGACATGAGTGCACTGACCAAACAAAACAAAACAAAAGCAACCCCATTTCTGTTTTTGTCTCTTCGGCAACCAGAAACCAACTGTTGTGAAAATCTAACGTTGGGTGTTCACATTTTGTCACGTACGTAGTTTTCGGAATCACAGTAGTCCTCCTGTGTCGCTGTAAAATTTTAGGGGACAAAAAATGAAAGAAAAATAATGGGAGCAAGAAAAGACAAAGGCAACGGAGAATCGGGCAGGCGTGGTAGAATTTTAGAAAAAGAAATCTAAAGGGCTTCTCCGACATGACGACACAATCAGTGAAAAAGCTTCCTAACGCAATCAAGACTGGCCCACCCACCACTTCAATCCTCACCTTCACTCCTCTCCCTTTGGACTTTTCTTTGCTTTTGCCATCAGGCGTGAATTTTACTGGCCCCTGTGGGGGCCCATCCCGGCCCCACTAAATGGTTCATATTGAATTGAGGGATGGAGGTGCATAAGGGCACGTTTGGACGTGCACTAGCAGCTCTTACGAAAATATGAAACATTATACTCTGTATTTTAATCTATTCGACTCTACATTCCGTCTATGGTGAGAGCTATCATATCGAAGTTTTTCTCGTACACTATGGGTTTAACATGTTTAGGAAGAGGTAGTAGCTTTAAGTGTAAATAGCAATTATCCTTCCAACCGAAGTAACTATTCAAATTGCCCGTCCTCTTATATTGCTTGTATTTTATTTCTAAATTTGGAAAATTTAAATTGCAAAATAAGATGATATGAATTTTGGTGTGCCAATGATATTTTTCAAAGTAAATAATAACAAAAAAACAATAGGAAAATTAATGAAAAGGGTTTGAAAACTTTGAGTTTTGATGATAAGGACAAAATAAAGGGTAAAGTGAATAGTACCAAGTTTGATTTTTTAGCGTAAAAATATGATTTTTCGTTAAAATTAACATTACCGTGGGCTTTTCGTTAAAATTCCAAAAAACAATTGCCAATTAAAATTTAAAAAATAAGGAAAACAAGCATCCAAACATCACCTAACTTACTGAAGAATGACAAAAATCAAATCCCGACACCCACCGTTGGATCAGAATCTCCGACTGAAATCGGACCGTCTAATTTTTTCGAGGGAGATTTATTTACCTGAACCGAATGCTCTTAAGATCGTTCCCGCCACGTGGCAGGGAGACGAACGTGATGAGAACTCCGGGCTCCACCTGGGCCACCCATTCCTTGGGCTCGCGCTCTTCCACGAACACGACTGGGTCGACTCGCCGCCCGCTGGCCGAGTTAGGCGTCCCCTCGCCGCTGGAGATCCCTTTCAGCCTCGCCTCCATCTCCTTTCCCCAAGTCCTCGGTGTCGTCGAGCTCGAGCTCCCGGTCCGCCTGTACGACCACCTGAACCGGTCCGAGTCGGCGTCCGACTCGCCGTTCCCCTTGAGCCGACTCTGATTCGCCGTCACCGGCCCCACGCAAGGGGCGCAGTGCCTGTAGGCTCCCGACGCCTTCAATGCCATGTCCTTGAGCTGCAAAATTCGAACCGCCGAAACCGCCAATCACAACAATTCAGGTCGATACATACATACCCGTGTACGTACAGGTTAGGGTTTCGAGTTAGTACCTGAAACGTGAGCGACTTAATGGCGGCTTGCTGCTTGTGACTGGAGGAAGCCGGAGTGTTGGTGGAGTCGGACATCTCGGGCTGACTCAGTGAGTCGTCGCCGAGTTTCTTCGGACGAGCTATGCACGTCAGCATTGCGATTGCGCCGCGCGCACTTGGTCTTCGTAATTCCCAGAGAGAGGAGAATGGAAACGGAATGCTGTTGCGAAGCGAGGTCGTTTCGCGTCTCCCGGCGCCGGACGGATGGAATTTGGAGAGGAAAAAGAAGGCGTGGGAAAGGAAGGGCGGGATGAGTGAGTGCTGCAACTGTCAGCTATCAGAGAGACGACTGAGACAGAGTCCTTAAATGCCACCTTAAATTACGCTACCAGAAACAAGATTCCCCCATCAAAATTTATTTAGTTAGAAAGAAAAAAAACAAAAAAAATTTATTAAATTAAAACAAAAAAAGAGAGTAGGGTTTACCTACCAATATTATAGTTTCAGTGTCATCGGAGTTAATGGTGATGTGGTAGTGACGAGTGAGGGGAGAGAGAGAGAGAGAGAGAGAGAGAAGAGAGATGGGGAAAGAGAGAGGAGTGTGGTGTGTTTTCTTTTTTGCTCGAGGCTCGCTGATTGGCTATAACGGGAAGCTGGTGCTTTTACCGGGTACCGGGTGTTTACCGGCTTGGATTATTTTGTCCTTTTAACCAAAATGCTCCTGTATAACAGCGTAATTCTGAAATTATTTGATAAAAATTAAAGGTATTTTTGTTATTTTATTTTTACTTAATAGAGATTTTTTATTAAAAGATCAAAATAATTGATAATGAAGAAACTCAATAACCGTTTCTATCGATTTTAAATCTCAATTACCAAAATAAAGAGTTATGCCGCGCTCGAAGAGTATTTTAGCCAAACAAGCTTCATTTTTGGGGGGCTCCATTACCTAGTTGTTTGTGGGTTTCTAGAAAGGCCTGTTAATAACATGTTGGTTTGGAAGTCCAAGATCCAAGATTTGTGGGCTGCTGTTGTGGATGTTTGACCAAGATGGTTCAACATCTGGTTTGGATTAATTGGGAATCACATCACCATAGCAAAGGCAATGGGGCCAGTAATGCTGCTGGTACGCTGATTTTGGACCAATAAAATCAGTAAGTTAACAAGTTGGGTGGAGTTGTTTAGTTACGTAAACATATGGAGGTGAACTTAAACAACACTGTTATTGCATCGTTTACACAAAACGTTATAGTAGACTAGTAGTAATGTACTGTTATCGTATAAGTCATTATCGAATATATGACCATAAGTTTGGTGTTAGGCTAACCTCTATTTATCAATTTCTCCCCTTTATTCTTGACTCGGATTAAAAGAAGTGTAAGAATTGTACTCTATTCAAGTGTGAAATCATGTTGTACGTAATCTATCGTCAAATATTTGATTCCCTCCGAATCCAAATGTCATGCATATCTAGTGAGCTTAACTCAGGCCCATTAAAGTTAGATTCGTGCACAAATTGAAACACACTAAAAGCTCGTTTGGATGTACTTTTAAAATAACTGCAAGCGCTTTTGGTGAAATATTTTTGGAAACCTTAATAAAAATGGTAGTAAATCCTGAAAAAGTACTTAAAGTGCTTTTTGAAAAAATGCACATAACTGGTACTTCTCGGAGAAAGCACTTAAAGTGCTTTTAGAACCCAAAAATATTTTTTCTAAAAGCGTTTTCAATCATTTTAAAAACACATACAAACGAGCTCTAAGTCGTACACTCAACCTCAAATTTAATGTGACTATCCTTGACCTCAATGTAACACAGAAAGAAAGAAAAAAGTTAAGTGTACTATGTACGAATTCGGTAATTTCTCAAAAACAAATGATGTTTTAAAGTCAAATAATCTCTCAACTCTGCGGTATGGGGAGGGGAAGTGAGTCTCATTCAGTGTCACGTTCAACCTCATGTCAAAGAGTTGTAGCATTAAAAAAATACCTAACAAAAAATATCGTAGAAAGGTCAATTATTTCTTAATCATGTCTTCTCCTTCACATGTATTAGTCTTCTACATTTAAGGATAAGATGTTACGAGTCCTTTAGATTAGCGGAGACACTATCGTCTCTAGCCAATAGCCAACAGGATTTTCTTCGGATCTTCTTTGTGAGGATCTCAGATATTCGTAAATCGTGTCAGTTCATCTTAAGACTAAGCATTTTAATATAAAAAAAGGACCAAACCGTGCCGAACCGCACTGGCGGTTTGGTTTTTTCTTTTCTTTTTTTCTAATTTTCAGTGGTTAAACCGAACTGCACCGACCTTAATCTCCGTTTGACAAGCAGTTTTCAAAATTCTTTGGATGCAGTTAATCGAACCGACCCGCATATATATATATATATATTTTAATCATAATTAATACATGTAGTAATATAAATAATTAGTTATTTATGAGTTACCATACGCCCATCATATAAAAATAAAACCTGATTAGTTTGAGAATCCCTTTTCCTTTTGTTCTAAAAGCAAACAACAAAAGGAAAAGACAACCTTTTCGTGCCTAAAAAACAGAGAGGAACGAAATTATGAAAGGAAAATAAGGGGCCTATTTGGAGAGGTAGCATCTGCTCTTTGCTCTTCTTGGGTTGCATCATTTGTATTTTCCTTTGAACAAGCACTCATATTGATGCTATGTTTTGTAGCTTTTGGGAAAATAATTTGTTATATATTTTCGTCTTTACACAAATTGAAAATCAACCCAAAACAACCCACCATGGTCAATTAATCAACCTTATCGGTTTTAGCCCTAGCTTGGTTGGTTTCGGTTTGTAATTTTGGCCCAACCGACTAGGTCAATTTGGTTTCGGTTTTGGGCCAAAACCGATCCAAACCAACCCATGCCCACCCTTAGTTCATCATATATCGTACAGTCAGTTTTCGTCAGGTACTGTTTATGTTTAATTTTAAATAAAAAAAATTAAAATAATTTCTCACCATACAATGTACGATGAACGGACATAATTCACAGATTCCCGAGATCTTCACAAAGAGACTCCGGAGAATATCCAAATGCATCTCTAGAACACAAGTCACATGAAGGTGCAGACTTGCAGCGTGACTTTGGATAGTATTCTCGAATGCCAAAGTTTTACAAGCACCAAATATTGTACCTTTTTCTTGCAGACCCTTTGCCTTAACGGGCGTTAGCCCAGATTTGTCAAAATACTGTACCTATTTCTAGAAATGAACACTCTCATTATTTCTAGAATTGAAAATTGACACTATTTATAAAACTGAACACATCCGTTGCAACTATTTCTAAAACTAAATATTGCCATTATTTTTAAAACTGAAAACTACCACTATTTTAAGAACTAAACACTGGCACTGCTATTACTTTTACAATTAAACACTACCACTATTATTATTATAGAACCAAATATGGAAGTATCAATTTTGAGGGAGAGGATCAAACTTCTATCTTGAGTTAATGATCAATTTAGTTAGGTTTGGTCAAAAATTGACAAAAAAAGGCTAGAAAAAACGTCACATTTGGCGAGCTCGACCTCCCTGGACATTGAGTTTTAATGTGTGGGTCCTGTATTAGAAGAAAGCGAGCATCAACACAAATTTGTTCATATGAGAGACTTATGAAAAATCTAAAATTGAAAAAGAAGGAAATGATAGGAATTGAACACAGGACGAAAAAATAAGACGAGTTGAACAAAAATTGTGAGGAAAAAATCAGAACTCAATCAATTATTTTGGATGGGCCGATCTAATTGAGATAGTTTGATGTTGGATTTTGTCCTAACTATTAAACAAAAGTTATTAAGATGTTTCATTAAAGGTAATAATAGAGAGACTAAATTTGTAGACAAAATTTATAAATTAAATGATGTGTCACTAATAGAAATAAACACGTTTATCTATGCTTAAATAATAATCTAATCATCAAATTTCATATATTTTATTAAAATTCAAAATTTTGAATTTTTTTTCATTCGTTTTTCTTTTTAACTGTATATTCCATATTGTCTTATATAGACTTTTCTTCAAAGTTGTTGAACCTTAGAGCTGTCAACATCCATAATATTACCAAAAATAAGTACTAAAATAACAAAAGCCAATAATATTATAGAGACAGTCAATGATATAATTATATTGTAATAAAGGACTTGAAAATTATGTTATTTGCTCATCACCGAATAAAAAATAAAAATGTTGTTATTCACGCATTTTTCATTATTTAATCATCTATATTTCATTTAATTTAACTTCTAAAATTTTAAAGGCATGTAAAATATAAAAATAAATGTAAATAGCACCGTTAAACAAAACAAAATATTCTGCTCAAATAAAGAAGTCAAATTTAATAATGTAATTTCCTTTTCTTGCCCACTCGGACACAGAGTCAAAGTAGGAAACTTTAACTAAAAGCTTTTAGTACTATTCATTTTAATGAAAAATCGTATTTTTACATAAAAAGTCAATCTACTATTCATTTTACCCTTTATTTTATTCTTATTGTTAAAACTCAAAGTTTTCAAACTTTTTTTATTAGTTTTCCTTTCAAAGTAAGAAAACATACACCTAACTATTTTTCAATCCATTTTCATTAGTTCGGAAAACTTAATCCCAACTAAACCACCGTCGGGTACTGCCAGGCTCAGTTCCTCCAATTTTCTAAACACCCAACCAAAAGTACACAGCCAGTTCGGCAGCCAATCGGACGCCTCCACATCGCCACTCGCCGGCTAAAACCTCTCTCCTCCACCGCCGTGTATAAATATAGTAACCGTATTTCTCGGGATTTGGGTTTCGATCAGCTGCTTCGCTGAGCACCGGGGACCAGAAAAAAAAAACCCAGTTACTCATCAGAGAGAGAGCATTTAAAGCCGCCCACTTTTTTCTCCCGTTATGAAAACGATGTCGTTTCTTAGACGGAGGAAGGGAAAAGCCGCTTCCGACTCAGAGCCACCGTCTCCGCCGATTGACGACAACAGCCAGAAAGAAAACGAAACCCAAGCGCAGAAGCAGAAAAAGCAAAATCACAAGAAAAATGGCGGGGAAAAGCCGCACAAGTGGTCGTGCGTCGACAGCTGCTGCTGGTTCATTGGGTTCATATGCTCGATCTGGTGGTTCCTGCTCTTCCTCTACAACGCAATGCCCGCCTCGTTTCCGCAGTACGTGACGGAGGCGATAACGGGTCCCATGACGGACCCGCCGGGGGTGAAATTGAGGAAGGAGGGGCTCACGGCGAAGCACCCGGTGGTGTTCGTGCCCGGGATTGTGACGGGCGGGCTCGAATTGTGGGAAGGGCATAGTTGTGCTGATGGGTTGTTTAGGAAGCGGCTGTGGGGTGGCACATTTGGTGAATTGTACAAAAGGTGGATTTTCATGCTAAACTTGATTAATTGTGGATTAATTTGATTTGGGTTTTTGGATTTTGAGCTGTTTGTTGATTGTTTAGTTAATTTGGTGTAGTTTAGAAGGAATGGTGTCATATGAGGAGGGTATTGTGTTTGATACTTAAAAGGTGATTTTTTTTTCCTTAAACAATGATGTTTTTGTATGTTTTACTTAAAAACTGTAATGTGCAAAGCAGTT